TTCTAGCTTTCTGTCTCTCTGTCTCTCTCTCTCTGTCTGGCGAGTGCACGCGCCCTATAGCAAAAAACTCTCAAAAAAAAAAAAAGAGAGAAAGACAGAGACAGAAAGTGAGAAATCACCCCCCAGGGGAATGGCTATGCCGCAATCCCTTCTCCTCCATTCTCCTCTCGGGATCTTGGGCAGGCACGCACACGTGCCCAGCATGAGTCTAAGCCACCAGGTCCGGGACTCGAACTGCAGTTGACTACATGGGAGTCCAGCGACATAGCCATTACACCAACTGCTGGTCCCCCGGCATGAGTTTTAAGTTGGCGGATCCAGGACTCGAACTGGGAGTCCAATGACGTAACGATTATGGCATCTGCGGGTCCCGATGGCTGCTGACGTAAGCTGTGGAGAGGGTGTCTCTGCCCCATCTCCTGGCTCCAGGTGGATGACAGATCCACGGGGGCCTGTTGTCTGTAGCTGTGGCCATCCAGCCACATCGGAGGAAGCCCGCCCAGGCCAGGACGTGCGGGGACTCCCAGATTAGTTGACAGAGCCTGTGTCTGACCTGGCCAGCCCCAGGTCACGAAGCTCTCTCACCCCAGCGTGGTATGTGCAACCTCAGGGCAAGCCCTGAAACTGTCGTTCTAGGACTCGGACCCCTCGGCCGTAAGGGGGGAATCATTGCACTTGGTAGAGTTGTCTAAAGGGATTCAGGAGTTGTTGCTATAACCGATGCTGTACCCAGGAGGCATTAAATAAACGTGAACTCAGTAAGTGTGGACCACCTTCAAAGGAGACAGGCCCCCCCATGGATATGGTGAAGGTAGTATGCGTAAAGAGGGGGCACCTGGGAGAGGGGGAGTTAGTGCTCACCACCCCCAGTGTGCATCCCCTCTGCTGACATTAGTTCTGTCTCCCTACGTCCTAGCACGGCATCTAGTCTCCCAGCTCCCCTTGAACTGTAGGGGCGTGGCATTAAGGTCTGGCCACCAGAGTGTACTCAGAAATGCTAAGTGAGGTCTCCAGGTTGTGCATTTCAGAGGAGAGATGCGTTTTCCCCGTCCTCTCTTCCTTCTTTCCTGCTGGCTGGGATGTAGTCATGACGACCGGAGCTGCAGCAGCCACATTGGATCACAAGATAGACTCTGAAGCTAAAGAATGACAAAGCAACGGAAGAGATGGAGCCTGGTTCTCTCACGCCGCCTGACCAGCCCTGGTCAAACTTAGATGTGCAGAGTTTCGTGAGGGAATGGTTCCATGGTTTCTTGTTTAGGCCACTGGTATTTCAGAGTTCTAGCTGACGTCTTAGCTAACACAGAGGGCTTCCAGGTTGCAGCTCAAGGTCTGAGCTCAGTGAGGTCTCGGGGCAGGGTCTCTCTGCTCTTTGGCTTCTTCATGTATAAATAAAATAGCGAATGTGAGACATGTCCATGGACATCGGGCACAGCAGCTGTTACTATTGCTACCCCGCCCTGTGCACATCGATTGACCTAAAGTCAGGAAAGAAAAGTCACCACGCTCCTGACATCACAGGGGCCACCGTCCCCCAGAGCAGACACCCCGTGGCTGCTCAGAGTTCAGAACTGCACTCCTTTTTTTTGGGAGAGGTTTTTTGTTTGTTTGTTTTGGTTTTGGTTTTGGTTTTTTTGGGGGGAGAGGTTTTTGCTATAGGGCGCGTGCGCTCGCCAGACAGAGAGAGACATAGAGACAGAAAGCGAGAAATCACCCCCCAGGGGGGATGGTCACGCTGCAATCCCTTCTCCTCCATTCTCCTCTCGGGATCCTGGGTTCACACGCACATGCGCCTGGCATGAGTTTTAAGTCACCGAGTCCGGGACGTGAACCGCAGTTGACTACGTGGGAGCCAAACAACATAGCCACTACGCCAACCGCTGGTCCCTTTTGGAGAGATT